TTTTTGCCAGCTCAGCCCATGCTGGGGGCAGGGCTGACACAGCATATGGTGCCAGGATCAAACCATGGTCCCTGTGCCTGCCTAAGTTTGCCTAAGCAGGTACTTCAGACTGCTGAGCTATCTCACTGGCCCCTATACTTAATTTTTAAAAAAGAAAACATGTTGCCAATTTAACTGTGATATACCATAAAATATAAACTGTAATGCCAGAATTATTAAAATATTTTTTAAATACAAAAAGGAAAACTCAAAATTGATGGAAGCCTACAGATGGGGAATTTCCAACTTTGCTCAGGACTCAACAAAGTCACCAAGGACCCAGGTTCCTTCCCTGCCTCTGCTCTGCCGTGCTCAGCAGGACCTCAGATATCTCCCCTCTGCGTTCACCCATGGCTTGCTGAGTCCTGATCGGTGCACATCCTCATGCCGCAGCTTCCAGAGGAGAAAAAAGAATGTCATTGCATACAACCCTTTGTAGGCATGAACAGAGCCTTTTTTTCCCCCAGAACTTCCTCAAAAACACATTTCCCCTTGCAGCTTATTGGCCAGAATTGTATTATATATTCATGCCCAATCCAAGCATGCCCAAGAAAATTACTATAACTAATACTCATGCCTGGGTCTGGACCAAGGCCCAGACTCCCAGCAGGCTTCCAACACTTGGACAAGATTTGGATTTTGTGACAGGAAAAGAGCAGAGCAATCTGCCATAAATAAGCACTGAAATACTCTTTTCTAGTCACCCAGTTTCCAGGTAGAAACCCCTTCTGTCAAAGCTTACACACTCACTTCTCTAAGGACTCCTAGTTCTGGAAGCTTCTCCAGAAGCATCTTCCTGTCTCAGAGCAGGACACACGCATTCCAAGGACAAACCTAGCCTGTCCTTGTGTGTGACTCAGTAAGCCCATTCCTGGAAGGGGCCCCAGGAACAAGCAGAGAGGGGATGGAGAAGGGATGCATCGTGCAAGCCCCACTTCATCCCATGTTAATGGGATTCTTTCCACTCCAGACATATACAAAAGAAACGTTCAGTAATCAACTGCAGACACAGTCATAGCAGATGGTAAGCACTCTGTGAGGTCCAGACGTAGACGCTGAGCCTAAAACAGTAGAGGGCACTGGGGCTGTGGGACAGGCTTCAGGGTAAAGGACACTGAAGGACAGAAGGTTTCAGATAGATCGAGTTCGGGAGGGCTTTATTCTTGACTCTGAATTAAGGTTGGCAAATGTAAAGCAGTGAATTACCATGTTTTTCTTCATATGTAGAGAGTATATTTAACTGTTCAGGTCATTCTTTGGGGCAGTCTTCTTAACCCAACTCTTCCCAGCCATTTACAAATTTAGGATGGGATATTCAGGGTAACCCTTATGTTCTCTTCTTCCTTTCAGGTGAGTAGTTTAATGAGGTCAGTCCCAACAAAACAGTGAAAGTCAAGGGCCTGCAAGATAGCTCAGCAGACTAAAGGCCTGCTTCTTAGGCAAGCTCAGGGACCAGGGTTTGATGCCTGGCACCACATGCCATGCCAGCCTTGCCCCCAAGCATACTGAGCCTTCCACTGAGACCCCGTGGGTGGCCCATGCCTGTAATCCCAGTACGGGGGAGGTTTAAACAGGAGGATCACTTCAAATCTGAGATGCATGGTGAGGCCCTGTACCTTTACCAAATACATTTAAAAAAAAACAATGGAAGTCTATTGCTTCTGAAATTATAATGTGCTTCTGTATAACTAGATGTCAGTCAAGTAGTATCATTCTTGACCAGTAAAGCAAGAATTTGAGTAAAGCAAGAAGATTTCAAAGACCAGACTGGAGAAGAGGAAGAGTGAAAACTACAAAGGTTGAGGGACAAGAGTGCACAGGGATGTCAGCGGGACAGTGATAAGCAGGTCTAGCATGGGCAGAGGCTCTTCCTGGAGGGAGGAGTAGAGCGTGATGGGAGCAGATTAATTACTCTGAGGGAGAGGACAAGTGTGAGCATCCTTGGATGTTAGGATAATCTGGTAAACTGTAGAAAAATATTTGGGGGTTTGGGGCAGGGTTGCATCTGTACTGCAGTTCATAGAGCTTATTCTGGCACTAATAGATTGAGAAACAAGTCACGGGACTAAATAAACATAGTAAATTCTTGATAAAGTCAAACCCAAAGAAATCAGAGTATATAACCTATGGTGACTGCAGTAGGGATTACAAATGTAGAGACAGAAAAATGAAAAATGTTATTTAACACCATTAAACCTACCTCATTAAGCTCAGAGACAAAAAGAATTCAAAAGATAAAAGAATCAGTGGCGGACAGAACCAAGCTGTGCAGTGGTACTTCATGTGCTTAGGTAGAAACTGATTACAGTGAAAGGGGCCTCCTGCGTCTCAGAGCAAGGGGTGGTTGTGGGGACCTCAGGGTGGCAGCCAGCTCTGGGGATGGTCTCCATCTGTGTATTGCTTAGAAACCAAGCACTGAGCAGTTTCACAAATACAGATTTGGATTCAATATAAGAAAATATTTTCAATAATTTGATAGTTTGGAAAAGTTGACTCTTTCATAGATGAAAGTTAACGCTGTTTTATGTCAGTATTTAAACACTAATGTGATAAAAATCAGATTTGGATGTGTGCCACTTCAAGGGTTTCCTATGATGAGCAGGAGAGTGAGTGATCATTATGCAAATGTTCTTAATTCTGCTTTCTAACCTAAACCAAAGCTGTATGTACACTCCTGAGATATAAAGAACAAGAAGGAGTTATTTTGTCCAATCATTAAGACCATATCTGTCAGGACTCTTGCTCTGGCAAATCACAGAAGTTCATTCCATCTGACTTGCACAAAATAGAAATTTACTGCTTCAGATAACTACAAGTTCAAAATTAGTTCTAGTCTCAAGAACTCCCATGAAGTGACCATAAGCCAGCCAGCCATGACTTGGCTCTCCTTCCTCGGGCAACATTCTTAGATGAGTTTACGCTCCATGTGATGAAATGCTCCCAGTGGCCATGGGCTCTGAACCCTGGAAGAAGAACGTGCTTCGTTCATTCCAGCACTCACAGCTAAGGTCCGTACCTCCTCAAGGGCACTGTTGTGTCTAGTGCCCAACCCCAAGCCAGTCATTGTAGCCAGCTGCTGGTTAACTCAAGTCTGACCTCATGACTGCCTTGGAGCTTTAAGTGAATCAGCTTCAGTTGAGAATGGAAGAGTCTCGTTTATCTAATAAAGAAAAAGATCAGATTCTGGGCAAAGAAAACAACAGTACCCAAGAAGAGTGGAATCATCCTGTCTCTGGTGGTATGGGACCTGCTTGGGGGGTTTCCCACCTTTAGCTGGTGGAGAGCATGCTTGTGGTCAATGCTGAAAGGATAGGGAAGCTAAGGACCCAAGGGCCAGGCAACTAAGACTGGCAGTCACCAAAGTTTCGGCCTCAGCCCAGAACCTAGGTCTTCTCACTTGCAGGCCCGTGGTGGCTCATCCCCCACCACTGCCTCCTAATCATGTCAACAAAGACCCCTTGTGAAGTTAGAGATGTTTTCTTCACTTAAATATTTCTTATAAAATTGCAACAGACATATTTGTAGAAATTAATTATTTTTCTCAAAGAAATAATTTTCCAGATAAGAAAGATGCCTGCTCCCTGGCAATAAAACAAAAAGACAAATACACTGGGACATCATTTCTGTCACTTCATGTCATACAGTTTAAGGTAATAGGACTTGAAAAAGAAGT